CCATGCACCACACATACACACACAACCCCCACACCACACACACACATCACACACACCACACCCCGATTCCCATCACACCACACACATGCCACACACACCATTTATACACATACAGACTACACACACCATGCACACCACACACAGAACACACATCACATAGACGAATACCACCCACAAACACACCCACACCACATACGGACATCACACATACACCATACACATCATACACCACACAAACACCACACATCACACATTAACATCACACACCCCACTACCACACACACACACTACCACACCTACATCACACCACACACACATCACACCACACACACCCTTCCACCACCAACTCAACCCCCACACCCCCCATGCCACACCACACCTCCTCACATCCCCCCACACCACACATACACCATGTACACACACGCACACACACCTCCTCACATCCCCCCACCACACACACACACACAGACACCATGTACACACACGCACACACCACACCTCCTCACATCCCCCCACCACACACACACACACACACTCTCTCTCTCTCTCTCTCTCTCTCTCGCTCTCTCTCTCTCTCGCTCTTTCACTGAGACACATTCCGGGGCTTTATTAACAACAGTATTCAAGTCTTCTGGGACCCTGTTCGCGATTGCTCTGACAAGCCAGTTTCAGGAAGACATAAATTGGGACTATAAACGCCTGGTTTCATTCTTTCGGGGGGTATGGATCTTTGAGAGAGCCCTGAGGCTGCCCTCCTGCCCACACTGAAAGCGCTGTGAAACGGCAACGAAAAAGCTGAAGTGTGGAAAACACGGCTATAAAGGAACAAGTTTATCTTTGTCTTTGGAAAAGAATTACTCCAACGGCCGGCCTTTCTCATAGCGGGGCAGCAGAACTGTCCCTGTGCAGTGTACTGGCTCCGGGAAGACACCTTTCGTCACTTGGCTCACCCTTGTGCCCACGCCGCCCCCAAACACAGCTGTGCGACCCCCTCTCGTCCAACCTCTCACCTCCCATCGTCGTCAGGCTGTCTCACAAACCTTGAGTCTTCTCTACTGCTCCTCACGGGGCACACCATCTCCTACCAATTATCCTCACGGGGCACACCATCTCCTACCAATTATTTATTTTTAAAAAGACTTTCTCTATTTGACAGCGCGCGCGCACAGGCAGGCGGAGCAGCAGAGGGAGGCGCGGGCTCCTCGCGGAGCCGGGAGCCGGATGCGGGGCTCGACCCCCGGACCCTGGGACCCTGACCAGAACGGAAGGCAGCCGCTCAACTGGCTGAGCCGGGCGGGCGCCCCCTCTCCCCGTCCTTCAGCTTTCACGAATCGTTCTGATAAAAACTCGTCGATTCTTTTTCTTCTCATTTTGCCTGGATCTGGGCTCTTCATCCCCGAAGCGTGCTGTGCGCGGTGCCCCCCCCCCTCGAAACAGCCGTCACTGGAACCTGTGCTCTCAGAGCTTCGGCAACCATGCCTTTCCCTCCCCCAGTCAGGGCCGGCTCGTTCCGGCCTCGGTCTTCGTCTTCACAAGCCCGTCCCTCAGGCCTAGGGGCTCTTCTCCCAGGCTGTCGCTCGGTCGAGTCCCCGTCTTTCAGAACTCAGCCTAAATGTCACCGCCTCGGGGACTTCCTGGCCGCCGGGGGGGGGGGGTGCTGCGACCGGTCCGCGCTGCTCCTACGAGCACACTGTGCTCCTCGCCCCCCCACGCCGTGGTGGACGACGTCGCACTGGCGGGGTCGGAAGCTGGCCCCCGTGGGTGCTCACACCACTGAGAGGAGCGGAGACAAGGCAGGGCTCCGCGCCCCTTCGAACCTCGAGCAGCACGCCCCTGACGAGAACGCACACGCCTTTCCTTCGATGCCAGGGTACCACTCGAGAGTCATCTTCGATGCCCCTTATGACGAAGGGACACGTTCTAAGCGCTGCGTCCGACTGCAGAAGATGATGCTTCGGCCTCCGTGTTTGCTTTCCCCTCGTCGTCGGCGTGTCAGCGCCGCGAGGATTCGAACGCTCGGGGGCCCCTGCTGGCGCAGACCTGCGCGAAGGGCCGTGGGAATGTAACGGGCGGCGGGGTGGCAGCACTTGGGGCGGCTCCTTGGCCTGCGCTGGGCGTCCCCTCGCAGTGTCCGCGCGACACAGCGTGCGCCGCGCTGCCCATAGCGGGCGCGACGTCAGCGTCTGATGTCATCGTCATCAGAGGGGAAAGACGGCACAGACACGACGGAACTCCACGGCGGCTATGTCCCCTCGCCGTAGGCCGGGGATGCGGGAAACAGGAGGGCTTTCTTTTCCCGTTTCGCCGGTTGTTCACTGGCAAAGTAAACGCCCTGAAAACCAGCAAAGGAAGCCGAGAAGTCCGGGGCATGGCTCGGCCGCGCGGTCTTCCTCAGCGGACCCTACTAATGCGCTCCCACCGTCGCGGCGCAGCGACCCCCGTCGGAAGTCGTCCGCAGGAAGGCGTCCATTTCTGGCAGAGGCGGCGCGCGGACTCCGGCATGGCTGCCGATCGCGCACGCGTCACTTCCGGCGGGCGGCGGATATAAGCGGCAGGATTTCCGCTTTCGCTCCTTTCCGGCGGTGACGACCTCCCCACGAGAACATGCCCGTGAGTTCTTCGGCCCGGCTCCCGGCGGAGCCCTCGCCTCCCGCGCGCGCGCGCGCGCCCCTCCGCCGGATGCGGGCCGCCAGGACCGGCCGCAGGCTTCAGGCCGCGGGCGGCGGGCGCGGGGGCGGGCGGCGGGCGGCCCGGGGCGGGGGTAAGATGGCGGCCCCGCCGTGGACGCCGGGCGGAGAGCGCTGCTGCTCTTGCTGCCGCCGCCGGCCGCCGCCGTCCTGACCGCGCCTGTCTGCCCCTCGTAGCTCGCGAAGGATCTCCTGCACCCGTCCCCGGAGGAGGAGAAGAGGAAGCACAAGAAGAAGCGCCTGGTGCAGAGCCCCAACTCCTACTTCATGGACGTGAAGTGCCCC